TATGAGGTCCGAAGGGCAACCAAGGGTGTAGAACCTCATAAAATTGTATACTCTTCCATTCTAGATACCTTTCAAGTAGATCTGAAATGGGGCCGATCCTCGTTCTTATTGAACCTCGTCCTTTGTACAAAAAAGTCTAATGTAAAAAGTAAAGTCTAGTAATAAAAATAAAAAAGTATCTGACTCAGTGCAAAGTTAGAAAAAATAACTCTATAAAAACCTAACTCGTATCTAAATTAGCGTAGGTTATTTTTCTGTGTGAAATAATATTTTCTTTCGCCAATGAACTGAAAAACATACAGAGTACTTCTTTATAGTCTTTTTTAGGCGTAAAATCAATTTCTCTTACCAAATCGTCGGCTTGTAAAACATTTTCATCTTCGCTGGAAGATTCATCTGGTTTTTCAGAGAAAGTTTCGCTCGATCGCTTTTTATTTAATTATTGATAGAAATGAGTTAATAGGCCGCCAATCGGATGGCCTCATTTTTGAGATATGCCCCTAAATGATTTCGGTCATTGATGACGTCATATCCGAACAACCACAAAAACACATGTACATAGGCATTTTCATACAGAGAATTCGGGAAAAAGACTTTCAGAGCTCTAAATTGACACCAGAAAAAATTAGAAAGATTCTTTTAGTACTGAGCGTTTTTTCGGTTTTGAGACCTTCTCACTATTTCGAGTTTTTCTCCACAAAAACGCAACCAAATTCAACTCAAAAGGTAATATTCAGAATCCGCATGAAACGCTGAATCCGAATATGTGACTTAAAATAGAAAATTAGATGTTATGGAATCTTCGAATTAGCTGCGCCTTATTGCTAAGCTTTTTTTATAATACGATTCTTGTAGCTCCGTTAAAACTTGTCCAATAGCGACGAACATTTTTCTATATATGCAACTCGACGAGCTCTATAAAGTGATATGATTAGAGTCTTTCGGTTGCAGATTCGTGGTGGGTCTATAAAGATCAGGTTTTGCAAGACTCATTCAGGAACTCGGTAATGGCCAGAACGAACACCAGATTCTTGATCAGCATCGTAAGTTACGATGGAAAAACTAGGTTTACTAAGAAAAGGTTTGTATCACACAGAAAAGATTCCCTCGTGAGCTCTTTCCGCTACATGTTTTCAGCAATCTACATTCAATCGATGAAAGACCCTTGACATTGATTTTCTGCCGGCTTTACTGCTTCTGGCAGTAAAAAGGCCTATTGTAAATCGAATACAATTTAATGAAGGTGTACGATGGAGAAAGCTCGATAACGCCTCTGTGGGACACATGTTCGGATTATGAAATTGCTACGAGGAATAATTGTAAAAGATCTCGTTCAAAGTTTTCATTTGTTTATTGAAACTCTGTAAAGATAGAGTATAATTTAAAGTGGTTTCCTAATGCATCATCATGATAAGTAAAATCGCTTTATTCCGCCCGCTTCGGTCTTTTTAACTGGAACATGTGCAAATGGAAACAAGTACTCAGAATAGTATTGTGTTAAGTGAGAGTGAAATCATTCAAAACGATTCTTAAAGTAACTTACATTTAACATTATAACTTTTATGTCTATCATTTTTGAGATGTTTTACCTGTAAAGAGTCATTGCATTTGTGTGTAGGAATACACCATTTCCAAGTGGATACTAATAGAGATCATTATTTATCACTGTTCACAGCTGAAATTTCGACCAATTAATGGTAGGAGAGAAAACTCTGATTCAGTTCCTCTATGTGTTAATGCAATTAAAAATAAAATGGAATGGATCTTTACATAAAAATAGAGATTATTATCAATTCTAAACAATTTTAGCACACTTTTCGGCTGATTCAACAGTTTTAATTCTATTCACTTGAAATTAATGCATTTCTATTTGTGTGAAACGTGGTATCACTTTAAATCGTTTGTTATCCTGTTGTTGTTTTTTCTTCTGTTTTCTCAAACATATTATATGTTAGAAGTTCTACTATTTTTTTGTAATTTCTTTGCCATATAATTAAAATAAATTGAAACTTGAAACTTGATATATTTCTGGAATAAATGTACTCGAACTTTTTGTAGTTTATATCTGCTTTTTTAACTCTTTTAAAGTAGAACTAAAGTGGGTCTGAGGTGAATGATTGACCCTGATTGCATTATGTTCCCGAAGAGAAAACCGGCTAAAACATGATGAAATCAGTGTCTCAGCTAGCATAAGAAACATTCCTTTTAAGCGACTCTTTTATATCAAAAGTAGTTATTGCACAGATTTTCTGCCAACAAGTGAAATAGATTGCATATCCGTCACAGAAATACTGAACGGCCTCCGATGACTTTGAAACAGAAACAAGGTTCACACCTCCCTCCGATCGGTGTTCGCTACAGCACTACCTACAATAAGTTATACGTCCATCACACTCATTACTTACTATGAGGATGTACGTCTGTCACCGCGTGTGCTTACGTCCGGCACACCTCTGTACGGACACACAAACACACAGACAAACACTTTTTTTTTATTTCACATGACCATAAACTTACAGTCAATGGAACAAAACTATTTCTGAATTAGACAATAAAACATAGGTGTAAAAACACTTCTCTGCTTCCACAGAAAATCCGCACGTATGTACGTCCGTCACAGTGCCAAATGACTATATGTATGTACGTCCATCACACTCACCGGTCACTATATGTATCTACGTCCGTGACACTCATTGGTCACTATATGTATGTATGTCCGTCACACTCCCACATGACTATTTGTATGTACGTCCGTCACACCGCTACATGACTATATGTACGCACGTCCGTCACACCCGTGTACGGACAAACACACACACACACAAACACTTTTGATTTGTTGTATGACCGAATTTTTTTCGTATGACCATAGACTTACAGTCAATGGAATAAGGCATTTTATTTCTTAAAGTAGGCTACTTTTATACTCGAACTTTTTGTAGTTTATATCTGCTTTTTGAACTCTTTTAAAGTAGAACTAAAGTGAGTCTGAGGTGAATGATTGACCCTGATTGCATTATGTTCCCGAAGAGAAAACCGGCTAAAACATGATGAAATCAGTGTCTCAGCTATCATAAGAAACATTCCTTTTAAGCGACTCTTTTATATCAAAAGTTATTGTTGCACAGATTTTCTGCCAACAAGTGGAATAGATTTTCAAGTTCGAATAATTAATCTGGATGATAAACAGATGAAATTAGTCTTTTCGGATACCGCCGGGCAAGAAAACTTTCGATCGCTGGTTAATAATTATTTTCGAGGATTTTTCATTCTTTTCTGTGACATATACGGACTTAATTAATCTGTGAAAGAGATGTGTCTCAAAAGAAAACTTGTCGAAAAATCCGATAGTGTAACATTGTGACTAGCGAAAATGAGACCTACTTAGATAAGGGAACAGAGAGCTGAATTTGCTGTGTACACCTGAATTTACCCATCTGCCTCTTTACTCATACTAATTTTTTCAAAAAATAAAATTTTTTGTGTATGGGACTCTCACAGGGCTTTTTGTGGAGTCCCGTAGGACTCCTTGCGCAGTTAGTCGACGGGAGTCTCGACAAAAAATAAAATTTTTTGTGCATGGGACTCTCGCGAGACTTTTTGTGGAGTCCTGTAGGACTCCCTATGGATTTTTTTTACAAAACGGGACTCCCGCGAGACTTCTGCCGGGACTCTCGATTAGGGGACACTCGTTCTCAGTTATCTTTGATCATACAGGTTTGGTAAAAAGATGATTCGAAAGTGCAGGGATTGTTGATGACACATCTAAAAGTTAGTTTTCGAATATTTGCTTTAGTTATCCTATGCCACAAAATGAGTATATTTTTTAGAAAACTGTCATTTTTCCTATGAGATAATTAATTGTCACGTGATTCACTCCATACTGGATATATGCTGGAGTGGAGGATATAATGAAAGTTATAGTGGAATCTGTGATAGGGTAATGAATCATGTGACATGTCAATGTGAACGATATGGCGTAGAATATACGTAGACGGTAATGACTTTCTGGATGTTCTAATTTCCTCTATTTACCGTTTCACTCACAATGGAAGGGTGTGTACTGATAAGCAAGATAGATGACCGTATGGTGTGCAAATGATCACTCCCACCGAGAAACTAACAAATTTAAAATATTAGCTGCCAATGGCGTATCTAAGCAGAGATATTCAATTTTTAAGTTATGCATTATATGCGTATATGAGTATATATATATAATAACACATGAATTATTTCCATCATCTTTTTATGCAATCATCAAATATTTTACGAAACTGGTTTCTAAAATCTTGATGAGGTTTATTGATAGTATTTAGGCTTCTCTAGATACGACTTCGTATGAAGTTCAACAACATTCAATAGATGATATACGGTTATTATATACAAAAATTCACCATTCATTAATACCGTTGATTTTATTTTACGAGAAATCAATAAACTGCAAAGTAATATTTCAAAATATGTGCTATAGATGTAGATGAAGATCTTCAACTAAATGATAATAACAAAGGTGTCTTTTGCACCAAGCGCAAGTTAGAAGAGTTCGTTCAGATAGTTGATTGTGAATGATGGAATGCATATTTATGAAATATTGACGATCATTCAAATTCATTTCTGTTCAATTGATATGAACATAGTGCTCGATTTTCTTGTGAAAGTATTGCCAGGAACGAAATAAAGATAAATCTTGAGGTTGAATATGACCAGTTGATCCTTCAGGAAAAACTAATAACTGACTGTCTTGATGGGAAAATACTGCTCTAAATTTTTTTAGATCAGTTTGAGTTGTCCAACTATCAAGGAAGAGAAGAAATTTTCGACCAACCAATGGACGTAGAACTTCATTTAAAACAGTGCGATGTTTTTCATCGCTACTTTTACCAGACTTTGAAGCTCGTACTACGACATTTGCAGGTACAATTCAATCTTTTTCTACTCTTTTACCGAATTCATTTTCTGTTTCTTGAAGAATAAGTAAGAATTTGTCGAATAATTGACCATTAGCTGATGTAATAGGCTGCATGGTATAAGAGTGTGTCACATTCTTCGATCCAATCATAAGCATCTAGAATATGTACCACATTAAGGTAAATAAACTGGAATTCAAGTAACAATTTACATACCTTTCCAGGTACAAATTTTTTTTGTTGAAGAAATTCGTGTAATCAGTTTATTGTATCTTCTTGATGAAATATGATACTCTCTCTTGAACACCTTGATGAATGATGAACTTGCTTTGAAATTGTTCCAACCTAATTCTCTTGATTTTTGAATAGCAAAGAGTTCCAGATCACTATCATGAACTGCTTCTTTTTCAATTGCTCTCTTCATATAAAATTCGTCCCACATGAATTCTTTGATTTGTTTGAGTTTGTCCAATCTTGTGCCGTTCATTTTAATGTATTCTCTAAACCTTGCGATATAGTACATGTACTTGACCTTTCGGAAATAATGTTTAATAGTTGCGATTTTGTAATTTGGATGTTGATCAACCCATTCCACAATATCTTCCATCTCTTCTAATGTAAAATTATCTTGAATGTCTGACGATTGATTTTCATCGTAATCGACAATATTCTCTTCTTCATCATTTGATTCTTCTTCATCAGTGATGTCTTCTTCGTCCATAATTTCGTCATATTCATCATGAAAATCGAGAGTTTGATCGGTGTATGATTCACTGAAGCAGCTATCTTTAAATGACTTTAAAATTTCGAATAATTGTTGAGAAGCGAAAATTTCATCAGCACTTGTTGTTGAATCTTCAGAACCAAATTCCATTTTTGTTAAATGGAGAAGATGTTTCGCAATGTTCACCAAATTCATTTTTTAGACGACAAGAACAATCTTTTCAGATATTAATCGTGGCGAAAAAAAAGGAGGAACGTTACTTCTGATGCGCATCTGATTCAGTCTTACGAATACCAATCCGTAAAGGAATATATTAAACTCTTAAATGATGCATCATCAATGCACTTAATTTTCGAATATTTTACAGAAAGACACTTTTCAAGTACAATAGTTGTTTTTTTTCAATTGGGTATTGTTGAACTTCATACGAAGTCGTATCTAGAGAAGCCTAAATACTATCAATAAACATCATGCTGATTATCGTGGCAACGTTTGTTTCAATGCGAAAACGAAAATACGGTCAGAAAATAAAATATTTTGAAATGGTCTAAAAGTTTACTTACCTGCTGAGGTTTTGGAGGAGGTTCCTGGAAAACCTTCCTTGTAACGGTGCTTTGCAATCCCATTCTTCGACTGAATCTCGTATCTTTGACTTGTTTTGAGTATCTCCTGAAAATGTGAGTCAATTTGTGTTATGATCTTCACCTTCGGTTAGATCATATCATCACTTCTCCTATTCTTCTTATAAAATACATATATATGCTTTGTGCGTTATTCTCTATGTTCTGGGATTTTCCCCATATGTAACTTTCTCT